CCAGTCATAAACTTGGAATTCTATGGCTTGGGACTCTGGATCTTTAACCACCAAGCTGAACTCCTCATTCCATTCAGGATTCAAATTCTTATGTTTCACAGTGGTCTTTTTTGACGGTAGATTTTCCTCAGTAATCTTCATTTTCACATAAGGATCTGAAGCACCTAAAAGGTCTTTCTTTTTCAGCCCTTTGGCCCTCACGACCTTCACATCAAGAAGTCCGACGGGCTTCCTTAGGGCTCTATAAAATTTAAATCAATTTATGAGAGACATCCCAAACAAAAGTTCCACAACATTAAACAAAGAATATGGGAACTTACTTTGATGCATCCATAACTGCTATCTCCAGGGTTTTAGGCCATAGATACATGTTGCCAACCTGATCTTTAATAGTCTCCTGCAGTTACATTTTTCAGTGCAATCATGACCATGTTTCAAACAGAAGGTGACAAAAACTCAATAGAATTCACACTTGAGGTTGGGATGATTTTTTTAAAAAAATAATGTTTTTAAAACACGACATGCAAAAACACACTCCTAAGATGTGGAAGGGCAAAATAAAGGGGTATGAATTGTCTTCTCTGAGCAGTGAGCATTTGACCTCTCATCAGTTACTTCATCGAAAAAACAAGGAAGATTGCCACCACTTATAGCTATGCTCTCAAAACAGAAGCACGAGAATGAATTATCATGGAGGAGGCTGATAGAGTTCAAACATTATTCTAACTTCACTTTAGATATTGAACTATACTGATTCACATGGAACATTTTAACACAATTGCGTTTGGTATTGCATATAATTCAAGAGCCCGTGTCACTCATTCTCCTGAAAATGAAGGCAGAATGAAAAGAAAGAGAATACGGGCTCCACAGGATAGAAACGTCACTCCACATTACCTGAACAAACTGGTGGAGACCTGGAATAGACATAAGGTCAGCCCCAACAAGCTTTAGCCCAAAATCAACATGTGGCTGCAAAACCAACAGCAGATTCGACCAATATAACGAATATACCAGAAGTTTTCTGAAATCAGATGTCAAGACTAGAAGGATCTTTCAGGTAACTTTTCTTTAAAACCACTTATATTAAACGTGTGTAAGAGAGAGTCCAAATCCTAGTCTTGATAATGAATAACGGCAATTAAACTTTCCCCAAATCTTATAGCATTAAATTTTCAGGAAAATTGAAGATGAACATCTCATCCAAATTCTTCAGTGCTAACAGAGAAAATCCAATTTCTTCAAAGCCCGTCAGGGGATAATGCAAACTGGAAAGGATCACACATTAAAAGTTCCCAGTGACAAAACTGAGAAAATACCAACAAGAAATGCAATGCTGACTCGTGATCACAAAACCTTTTCCATGAGTGAAACAAAGATATTCGCAAAACAAGGAAAGCTCGGAACCAATGGCTTCAAGGTAATACGTGGAGCTGCAAAAACTTGCAAATCTATAACCTGTGGTTGCCAGACAGACAGGAAAAAAAAAGGCCACGGTTCTGTCTCAGTATCCAAAAAAGTCAAAATTTTAACCATAGAATAAAAGAGAAGACATTTCACCTGAACTGTTGCTTTCAGTCCAAATGCCTTGGCAGCAACGAGGACATTTGGATTCCCAGCCCATTTTATTGAAGGTTCCATTATCAACTCCTTCTCATCTGTAACATAGACTTTCATGCCTAAACAAGAACAAGAATTATGAGAAAATATTAATTGGTTCCTCCATAAAAATAATGATAATGAACAAAAATCTATATCAGCAACAGGTGAAATATGAACAAAAATAATGATAAATATCAGTTTATTCATCTCTGATGTACACCCAAAAGATTTGTTGGTCCACATGATGCAATGTAGCAGTCCTATTTCCCTGTTTTGTATTGTGTAAAGTTCACTCCATGATCTCATTGCAACGATTTTCTGGCTTCTTCTCCTCATTCTAATGTGCAGAAAGATGCCTCTAGCACACAATCTTACAGAGCAAAGACACCAACATAATTTTTTTTTTTAACAAGAAATAAACTTCTGATTGAAATAATGAAAAGGAAAATAAATATTCAACGATACAAACTCTCAAAAGAGTGAGGGAGAGTGAGAGAAAACAAAGAAGTAAACAACAATTAAACATCACAACCAAAGAACTCCCCAATTATGCCAACATAATTATAAAATAGACAGCTGATGGCCAAATCTACCCTTTCACTTTAGTCTCTATTGTTTAAAAAGTTCCAATTTAGTCTCTTGCATTAAATATATTTCAGTTATATACCCTTTTCATTGGTAAATGTTAAAATTAGCTAATGGTAAACTTACTAGGTTGGCATAAATTTAGGGGAGGAATCAGGCTACCTAATAAGGAGAAGTTTCTAATTTCTCCTTTAAACTTCTAATTAAGTAGCAAACATTTGACTTTCTTTGTCTTTAAGTAACCCATCTAAGTTTCTATGGACTTACTAAGTATTATGCCATATAAGCTTATCGTCGACGTTCTTTTGATAGTTTGGTTGATAGTTAGATATAATTAATGTCAAAAAATAAAAGACTAAATTAAAACATTTTAAATAAATAGGAACTAAATTGAAAAATTACTTAAACCATAGGTACTAAAACATATATTTAGCCATAATTAATGTACTAGAAGAGTACTTATTTCTCTTCTTATAAAACGCTTTGGAAGTCAAATTCTAAAACATATATCCGCATTCTCTATAGAAAACTTTAATTTACTTAAAAATCAACTTTAATGTATGTGTAGATCGAAGTTTCACATAAAATTCCTCCAATATTGAATCAAGAAGAGAGTTCAATCACATCAGCACCTTGAAAAGTTGGTGGCAAGGACCCCAATGTCAGTGCTTCAAATTCAACAGAATCAATCTTAAATTTGGGAATTTGCTCTGCAATTATAGGTTTGGCAATATTCTTCGCTGTTTTGCATATTGCCTGGGTCAAGAGCAAATTTTAAATTTCTGCACAGTTAACACATGTGAAAATATGCTACAAAATAACGGAGAGCAGAAACAGCAATAAAAACTAATAAAAAGAAAACCATACTACTGATAATAACTTAATAGTGAGTAGTTCTGATGAGACAGATGACTAAACCTTATCAAGATAGGGCCACATATATTCAATAAACCTGTTGAGCCAGTCAACCTTCAAAAAGAATTGATAAACTATTAGATAATTCAGTGAAAACTCAAAAGAATAATTCGGCAGAGGAATTTAATGCAAGTTGCAAAGTTTCATACACGATCATGGTCTGGACATTTCACCCATAATGGTATCTCAGGAAGCATCCGCTGCAATGTTGCTGTGTCTTCTTCAACAAGTGGACGAATTTTATGATCCTGACCATGCCACTCCAGCATAAATATCTTTTTTTAGAAGAAACAATTTCATTGATGATATGAAATTGAGTAAAAAAACATTAATCCATTATGAAGGCATTACAAAGAGGCTCTCCAATTGAATAAGTGGAGATGCTATAAGAGGGACAATTACACCAAGAGACCACCAAGAAAGTTAATGACTCAAAAACTCGTTCATGGGAAGATCCTTGTTGTGGAAGTTTCGATGATCTCTTTTCATCCATATGGGCCGAAATAGCCCTCTAACGAAATGTATCCATAGAACCATTTTTTCCCTGGATGGCCCCCCTAGAGTGTATGTTATAAGGAGGCTAGGATTGTTTGGGAGAGCAGTGGACCACCATCTGAAAAGAGAGAATCTTACCCCACATACTCGATGAAAAATGGCATGTGATAAGTAAGTGGCCTTGAGATTCATCACTATGTTCACAGAGGATGCACCAGTGAGGGGAGATGTTCAGAAACGGCATCCTTCGTTGAAGCTTATCTTGGGTATTAAAAAATTCGACCTTCATCGAATAATGATCTTTCCAAATTGAGTTATAAAGCCATGGAGCATATTCATTCTTTGAACTGATCAGCATGTCATTCAGGAGAGAGCTAATAGAAAAGAGGCCAGATGGTTCCATGTTCCAAATGTATCTTAGTCCCTGGAGAGGTGCTTTGATGATATGAGCTGAAGGAGAGAAGTCAATTCCACACTTTCTGCTTCCCTAAGGTTTCTTCTAAACCTTATGTCCCAAGATGCAGATTCTGATCTCTGAAGACCACATCCTTAACAGAAATTAATTTGTTTGAAGATAATGCAAAGAGGACAGGAAAAGTGCTGCATAAAGCTTCATTGTTCAGCCATATATCCTTCCAAAAAGAAGTGTGAATCCCGTTGCCAACTTTGATGAAGGTTCTGTCAAAAATCAATGCTTGCTGTATTAGGATATCCTTCCATGGACCACGTGCAGTTGCTACCATTGAGGGCCTTGTGAATCTCCACTCTAAATGGCTCGAGCCAGTAATACAATTATTTTTCCAAGATTGGTTAGTTTAAAGCCAAATTAAGTGCTTGTGCATGCCGATGAATATATCATTTTCCACTGAGTGAACTCAATATACATATTCTTTTTGATAATCGAGGGACCAAACTACCGTGCGCAAGCATTCGACTCAACATCCCACCCTCCTCCACGCTCGAGCGAAGAGTGTGGGTGTACATCTAATACAACAAGCGGGCAGAGTGGCAACAACAGCCAGCTCCATGTTGCACAGCACATTGCCCAAGGGGTCGCGTGCTCGTGGTGCCTCCTAGCCCATGCGTTCCCCTAGCAACACATCCTCATTGGCCACGCCCAAGGCCTAAGCATGCGACTACCACAGTGTAAGTGTAATTACTGCGCCAAGTACTACTTTTATCCAAGATTTTACTACTTCAGATTTTTTAACTAAAATACATCAACCCCACTATTAGTCTCAGCTCTCCAATCTCATTGGAAACATTCCTGATGGAAAAAATTTTGAATGAAAGATCCTGCTAAATTAAATTGAGTCTATGAATCTAAGAAATGAAGAAATGGTGAGAATTCTTGTTGCTTGGATCTCAAGCGTTAACATCCAATCGAATATAGCGGCCAGCACTGCACCATCTACACCCAACCTAACAAGGCTCGTGACGTACGCCCATGGCGCCCCAACCTCGCCCCCAGTAAGCTCTGATGCTGCACTGCCGCTCTCCCCAGCCTCCAACTGCATGACCACACCAAGCATATGAATGGCACATAATGCTTGGTGCGTGGACATGGCAGCATAGGGTACGCCCCACTCAGGCAAACAGGTCGTCCTCTTACAAACCTCACAAAGTAAAATCGATTTGCCATGAATTCCGCGTCTAGCAAAAACGTGCCCTCTAAAAATACTGCGTCGTTCATCATCACATTACAGAAAAATAAAATCAAAACTCTCTAAATCGACCAAAAAAAAGGTTATAAATACTAAATTCAACGATACCACTCTAAGCAGCCGAATAGATCATAGCAGAACACAGTGAGAAATTAAATGAACAGCTCTTTCGAGCGAAATAATGTATTCCGTTGACAAGCAAATGTACACTGACCTTAACATTGTTGGGTTGAACGTAGATGAAAAGAAAGTAACCAGCAACGAGTCCAATGGAGATCCCAACGCCGAATCCGAAAAGGCCCAATATAGTACCGAAAAACCCCATTTCAATTCTTCCTTCGGGATTCAGAAAAACGCATTGAACCCCCAGATCATCGATTCTCCCGCACCTTCGTCCGACTCACAGATCGATCAATTAAAATATTCCACAAACCCGAATTTTAAAATCCCAAGCTTCGTTCTCGATTTCAACGACCGCAACAACATAGAGTGGATCGGGATTAAGTCACAGAATCGAAAGGCAACAATAAGAGGAAACACAATAGTTTTCCTTTTCTATCGTCGATGGAAATACGATAAGTAATCATTGGAAATCGAAGCGTTTGATCTCCAAAATTGTAGCGGGTTTTTTTGTTTTCTTTTTGCTCCGTTTCGTTTTTATCGGATAATTTTGTAGAGAAACGTTGATAATTTAATTTGGGGAACTCGTAAATGGCCAATTGGGATCGGGAAATCCGGGCTTCGGTTTCCATGGCGTCGAGTGGCGCAGAACTGACAAAAATGGATTTTGAAAGATTTCGTCGAGGCGTAGAAGGTAAGATAATAAAGTAATAATTATAAAACCGTTGATAAATTTGGCGCGTCCCTCTGTCATTTAAGGCGGGAAAATATTTGGTACTGTCTTTTTCTGCCACGTGTCGTACAATTACTCACCTTCAAGGTATTCGTCTAGGTTCCTATACTTTCAAAAATGTTTAATCTGATCTTATATTTTTAAAAATTGACCATTTTGATCCTTCGCCTCCTTCCGTTCAAGATGTTAAGAGAATTACAATGGTGGTAGAATCGTTTGTTGAATCCATCTCTAGAGAGTTAGACTCTAGAGAGAGGGGTTGTCGTCACTGGATTTTGTCACATGTTGTCTTTAGGATCGTTGTCACCTTGTCGAATGTCGAGTGAAATAGAGCAAGCGATAGAAGGAGGTGGGAGGTGGTAGGGTAAAAAATATTTGGTTGGTTAGGTCAAAATCGACCCAAAATGGCTAATCTTAAAATCGAACATTTTTGTTTAGTCATTTAATAAATTAACTGGGCCGCCGCCACTTTACTTCTATTATTAGCTTGAGTAGTCACGTGTTTCGGTCGCCTTTCAATGACTTCCTTTATTATGTGCAAAAAAAATTATTTTTAAACTTCAATAATTAAAATTTTATACTCTAAAAAGGTTAGGACGGTGAGTTTAAATTCTCACTTCTGGTGCACTAAAAAAATTTAAATCTTTTATCTTTACTAAAATAGATAAATAAAATGTGACGTAGTTGGCCTAAAAACCATTAAGAGATATTAATGAAAAGTAAAGTTTGGCAATCAACCCTCGTTCTTTTATAAGGCATTTACAAGAAAGTTTTCTTTTATAATTGAAAAAATAATTTCAACAAATAATATAATATACACGGTTAATGTCAAAATTTCATGACACAGTTTGAATTAAATGTCCCAAGAAAATTTTAATTTTTTTTGAGTAAAATATACTTTTAGGGCTTTAATCAACTAGATTTATAACGATCTTTGATTGTCTAGTTAATATATGTTAACTGTCACATCATCATTGACCTAGAGACCAATTATAAACCAAATTCATATCTGAGAGGTTAATTAAAAATTGAAATCAAACTTCAAAGATCAAACATGTTAATTTTGAAACTTAAGGACAAAATAAAAACGAAATCTAAATCTCGGGAACCAATATTGAAACCAAATCTAAACTCCTATCCATCCATCTACCCTAACCGCTACATTATGTGTATGAAAGAGTGATAAATGCAAAGTGATCACTAATTCATATCATGCGAGTTTGCTACAGAATTTTGGAACCAATAAAGATACCTATGAACTTATGAAAAATGAGAAAGACTTTTTTTAGGGAGATCTCTTCCCATTTTGTAAATTTCATATTGTTTGTTACCCAAAAAGATTAATTATTAGTATAATCTAACTATGTTTATTATTTATTTTAATAATTTTAAAAGTTTAAAACTTTAAAAAGTAGTTGTAGCCAATTTTGAGGAGGTTAGTGGTAGCTATGTTTAAGTTGCTAGATAACAACCTATCGTGAGGTAATTAATTTATATGATTGTTTCAATTTTTTTTTTAAAAGATTTACCATATTATGTAAAGTTCGTTTGTTTTTTAGTTTATGTGAAATATCTAAAGTAAAGTAGGGAAATTTTCAATAAATTAAAACACAAAGTATTAACTGCATGCATATATAACTCTCGTCAAGACACTTCTATACTTAAATAAGGTATTCTTTAGGTGTAAGGTGCCTCATATTTTTATTGAACTAAAAAAATGTAATTAGCACAAATATTTTGAACTCACACAAATAATTTATTTAATTAATTTAATATTTAGGACTAAAACTATAAATAAATAAATAACTTTGACACATATAAAATGTTGAATTCATATGGTAAGTCAAAATAAAATTAATAAATAATTATTGGTCCTGTAAGATTTATTTGATCAAGGATTTGCATGTCCATGTGATGAATAACTTTAACAACTTTTAGAAATTAAGAAATTTATAAAATTACTAAAACTGATAAATCCTATTAAACTAATTACAAATTTTTTTTTATTAGTTACAACTTTTTTTGAGATATATTATTAGTTACATTAATCATACTTTCGACATAAAATTTTATATATTTTCCCTTTTTTTTTGTGACAACATACTATAAGGATGGATGTTATATATGCCTATGAAATTTTTATTATTTTTCTAATACACTAAAAAAGTCATAAAATGAGATTGGAAATTTTAATGTTGAGAAAAGGATAAGAAAAGGGCTCGACAAACTTAAACAATATTGCATCTTGAATCTATTAATGAAAGCATAATACTTAGATTAAGGCAACAACAACAAAAATAAAAAAATAAAAAAATAAAAAAAGGGTTCAATTATTAATTTATGAATTTGGATAAATAAGTAATTGAAGGGGAAGCGAAAAAGAAAAAAAGAAAAAAAAAGGGAAAAAAAAAATGAAAACTTTGAGCTTCAAGGAGCCCCCCATATCTGAAGGGGACCAGGACCAGTTTTGTTAGCCTGAGAATGTGTTTGATTGATCAGCCTCCCTCATCTGTCCCTTCTTCTTCTTCTCTGAAAAGATTAGTCCATTTTGAGAGTAATCCTAAGCGGTGCATTTTGCTTGTAACGCTAGCGTCTTCACATCACATTCATTCTTAACATTGTTGAAAGCATCCATTGGCACTGAACAGGTCTCTTTGCCCAAGCAGTGCTGCAGCAGCAGCAAGCAAGCAAACAAACAAACAAACAATCAAGAACATGAAACCCAGCAGATCAAGAGCTTTGAATTGTTTCTTTTACCTGTTCGGCGATTTTCTTGGCCTCGGGAGCGTGGCATTTCCCTTCCTCATAGGCTCCACAGACACCAGAAGGATCGCCATAGCTTGCAAACTCAATGGCGGAAATCTTTTTGTAGTTGGGGCATTTGAAGTGAGCTTCGGATTGCACATCATCCACCACGGCTCTGAATTGCTTGTCCTTCCTTTCCCATGACTTAACGTCTGGTGGGTGATACTCGGTGATGAAGCTGCAGATTGTGTCTCTGTTGACGAGTAGGATTTCGACTTTCTCGGGCGTGTTCTTCTCTTCCTCCAATATGACCAGCAGATTTTCTGTTGGCTTTATGAAGGATCTTGGAATGTGGTACTCTGATTGAGTGGGCTCTCCTAGAGGGGATAAGTAGGACATCCAATACCGACCAATGCTTTTACCATTCACCCAAATCTGTCCCTTCCCCATTTTGCTCATTCTAATAGCTACAGGATCTCTTCCTTCTGGAGCATCAAAATATGCCTGCAACAAAATGAGTATTTTTCTCTTCATTACCCATACTTCTGACTTTCCTGTGTGGGAAAAGAGTTGATAATACTACTGCTTATGAACATTACCTTGTACCATGTGAGAGCAGTCTGTGCTGATCCCTTGACTTCGGTCCACTGAACCCTGTGTGATCCTCCCTGAGTGTACACTCGAACTTTCTCTCCATTGAGACCAACCTGCAAAACAGTGCGAGTAAATTAAGAGTTATGTCGACTTTGTATAGTTTGCCCAAGTTAGATTCATTGATCGTGGTTGAGAGGTTTGAAGGGACTCCTCATACCTGGTGTCCCCAGCCGTTTTTGGAGATATCAAGCGTTCCGGTATTCAAGCCGAGGATTGTTATAAATCGAGGCCCTGCAAACCTGTGTTCCATGTATGCTCCACTATCCTGTAATGACAAAAAGAACTTGTGATTGCCCATTGTAAAATACAATAAAACAGAAACAAGCACTGGGGTTGTGATCTCCATACGGGAAGTCCCACTGTCATGCCTAGCATGGCTATGTGGTTAATTCCGGCCTTCAAGGGCACTGGCTTTTGGAAAACGAAGTTCTTTTCCTCGTGGCTGCCATGTGCGGATCCTAGAAATCAAAACCCCAAGTTCTTTAGCAGTGAATATTTTATGAGTGTCAGGATGTATGGCTATATGGAGACGCTTATGTAAAATATAGGATTTGCATTTGGGTAAATGCTTACCGACATATTCACCATTGACAAATGCAAGTAAAGCATGTCCAAGACTTGAAATACGCAAGACTGGGAGGATATCGGGGCGCTTTGATACGTCCTTTTTGTCCAACTCAATGCTGTTATCAGATTATGCTAGGATGTTAATTATTGACAACAACTTCAAACAACACTAGAGTGCTGATGCTCATCATCGACATAACTTCCGTTTTTCAATTAAATTTATCTTACCTAGTGGTGTACCATGCATAATCTGTGGTGTCCTTAAGTAAGCTATAGAGCTCCAATGGTATCTTATTATTTACTGGTACTTGCTGAACAGTTGGAATGGGTTCAGCATACATCGTCCATTTGAGATTGCTGTTGACCTTTGATGGGACATAGTTCCTAGCATTGTGCTGCGATACGATCTGTGATTTTTTTTTAATTTCCAAATAGTAATGGAAGAGTAAATTAGAGTCCTGAACAACCATAAAGCTCAATTGCCGCAATGCAGAGTTATGATGTAACCTACAGAACCTATTGTATGAAAATTGAGAGGAGTTTTACCGTCTGAGTGTTGAAGACAACAGTTTTACAGTCAGGAAGTATGCTAATTGATCGTGGTGGAAGAAGATAGTCCCGTCCCCTGAAGTTAATAGTTTGTGAAACCTTGGTGTCATTGTTGGTCAAGAAAGCAGCACAAATGTTAGATCCTGGCTTCTCATAATATCGAGCCTGCAGAGGACACAACGTAATCAATTGGAGATGATCTCGGTGGCTTATGAAGGGTCAGCACTGCCTTCACTTTTAACATTGTATAGATTGCATATGAATTGATCAAAGTACCTCTAAACCATTGTCCATCGTTTGGACTCCGGGAGTGCCCCAGAGGAGAGGTTTCTTGCACAGATTCAGAGCCTTGTGCACGTCCCTGAGATGACCCCATTTTGGTTCCCTCTGCAAGCCTGTGGCATCATAAAAGTCCCAGTTAGAAGTTTGAGCAAGCTTTGTTCTTAAAAGGACAATGATTCGTTTTGGTTGTAACTAAAAAAGACCAGATTTACCATATTCATCAAGTGGTGCTTCATCATAATACCGAGTTGTTGTAAAGACAGCGCTTGTTCTACCCAAATTTGTCCCACCATGGTACTGCACACGTACAATAGACAATTGATTGCCATTGGAGTAGGATTCTCCTAACTAAGAAGATTTATACTTGTATCTGCAGAAGGCTGAAGCCCACAACATAGGACAAGCCTTATATTTCTTACCATATAATAGTTGACCAGTGTACCATTCTTGGAGAAGAAGCGGGCAACTGAAAAGGCAATATCTTCTGCTGCTCTTTGGGAAGGTGGATCTCCAAATACTCTGTACCTGTTATAAGAACAGCAACATTTGATGATTAGTTTGTACTTGTCCACAATATATAACTTTCCTTTGTAATTCACAAATTTTCCCTCGCTCAAAACTGTCATCAAGATTAGATATGCTTACTGAGCAGTCCAATTCTCAGTCCATATAGCAGGCTTATAGGGTTTGTTGGGGCCTGTAAAAGTATCTCCGCAGTGCCTTCCATTGCAAGCGTTGATCTGAACGTATAAGTTATCTTTTTAGTTCCAAGAACAGTAATTTAACCATAAAGCTTCTTATACTTTGTTCTTTCTACGTTTGTTCTATTACGTTAATCTTCCCTTGTAAACCCTTACCACAGGATCGGGAGCATCCTTTTGCTTGCACATGATCCATGGAACTCCGGTTCCCAACCCAACTGCCATATTTGCTGCCCACTGGACGTATGAGCTGCCGAGCTCATCATACGCCAGTTGAACATGGTTATATTCATTTTCAATCTGAATCATGGATGGAAAAATGTGTTAGGGAAAACTGAATATTCACAAAGAGAGACAATGTAACAAGAAGATCAAATAAACCAATAATGGGAAATATATATACCTGAGATAAAATGATGGGTCCTCCTTGAGAAGCAAAAAGTTTATTTTCCTTCATCATGTCTACGATCATCGATACATATTTTTTCATGTAGTGCTGCAAATGAAATAATGAGTTTTAGTACTTTAATTTCCGAGACAATTTCATAAAGGTGGCGATTATAATTTACCTTGAATGGTGGGTTATCTGAACGGAAAATGATGTTTGGTTTCTCTCTGAGCCAGTATGGAAGTCCCCTGAATTTACAGAGAAAATAAAATCTTAGAGAAAAATAACAGAAATATTGAAGCATATGAGAGATAGTAAACCAATACCCATGGTTCCATTCAGCTTGGATGAAGGGTCCAACCCTTAACGTTACATACATCCCCTTCTCAGCAATTAGCTTGATGTATTTCACCAAATCATAATTTCCTTCGAAATTATACTGTACACACATATAATTAAATCAAGTTATCCTATTTCAAACGATTCACTTCACACATAATTAATCAAACTCCATGATCTTCAGCTTTTTTACCTGGCCTTCCACAGGCTCATGAATATTCCAGAAAACATAAGTCTGAATCACATTCAAACCTCCACGTTTCGCCTTATCCAGAAGATCTGACCACATCTGTCACCCAATTTCGAAAGAAATCCATTACATTACTAGATCTCAAAACATTTACACAACATTTCCCTCTCAGATTTCGCCAAGAATTTATAATTTCTAACATAAGTTTTCTTTATCATACCTCAGGGGTACTTCGCGTGTAATGAATCGAACCCGAGAACAGAAGCTCTCTTTTGCCACTGATGATAATCGATCTCCCATCGTACGTTACGCCAGACTTGCCGCCTTCATCAGCAGTAGCAATAAACGCCAGAATGGAAAGAATCACAACTGTAAGCATCTCCTTGTGAACCGCCATGGTTCAATCTCACGAACAGATGATGGGTTCAATTTTGGGGTAAACAGGGGAGGAAATCAGTGATCGAAAACGAAGAACATGGAGGATTCATTCAAGTGAGCACTCAAGGGCTGGCATCCTTCAGAGATAGGAGGCTTCGAGAAGCTGATTTGAACATTCCATGGAAGGGGATTATATAATGTTGCCCTAATATTGGTACCTGTAAGAATTCGCGGCCTCGGAGAGAAACTCGGAATTGAAGCTCGGAATTGGATGTTTGAATCTCTTGGCTGTGAATTCTTTGCCATAATTGGAGTTTGATCTGTAAAAAAAAAAAACAAAAACAAAAAATTGTAGAGAGAGAGAGATTTGGAATGCGAATCAGACGCGAGAGAAGAACAGGTTGAAGAAGCCATAGCCGTAACGAAATTTCGAAATTGGCGGGTTTTTCCGATCACATTCTATATTCTGCGGGCACTTACATGGAATTTTGTATGTTTCAACCCATGCTTGCACTCCACGTCACTTCTTAAAATTTTTGTAATTGAAAAAAAAAAGGATATTTTCCTTTGTTATTTATTACCTTTTTGGTTCCTTTTTTCGAAATTTCCTTATTGCCTCTCCATTTTTCTCTTTGCTGTTAGTTACCATTTTTGGCTTTGCCAACAATTATCATTTATTAAAAATTAATACCTTATTTATGATTTTTTCCCTTATTTATTGTATATTTTTTCAATGTACTAATATTTTTAAATTTTTTAATACAACAAATTGAGAGTATGAGTTTTTGAACCTCCAATCGAGGAGTAGTTGTCAATTAGTGATGAACTATACTCATGTTCATGGTATTAAATATCCGTCAACATGTCTATATATCCATAGATTCAATATCAATATGAGAGCATGAAAGATAAATCGACATTTCCATAATATTACAAAAAAATTGACAAAATATAAAAAATATAAACAAAATTTTACTAATATAGACATAATATTAATATTAATCATTTTTGACATATTTAGAAATGGTCAAACAAATTATTTATTAATTTAAATATTTTTTTGAGTTTTTTTTTTATTTTTATAACTTTTTCAGAAATATCTATCGACATCGACATTTCCACGAAATTGAGATTTCGACATTTTCATGGACATCAACATTTAAAACTTTGCTCGTGTTAGCTAATATTTTTCTGTGACGTTGAAATATTTTTAAATGGAAAATGAAATAACAATTAGTTTTTTTAATGTTAAATTCTAATAAATTTTGATTGGGGAAAAATTTTAAGGTTCGTGTTTTAGCTTGAATCTGATCTTGTAACATAATATATTATATGTAATAGATAGAAAACTTATGAAGTACAAAATTATTGAATTATCCAAACATGTATTCATAAATACATATTTTTTGTTATATTCATGTGGAAAGCAAAATAATAAGATTGGGGATTTTCAATCATTATCTGTACTTTTTGGACAATTTAGTGATGATGTGATTTGGTGTTTTTAGCATGAAATATTGTGAGAAAAATGAAATTCACAAATAGTTAAAATTTTCATTTCTCCACTCAAATTTATCTTTGGATTGAATTTTTCAATTAAAATTTTTTTCAACATATATATAAGATATAGAGTTGAGCTTCGATTCTGCTATATCACAAGTTGTGAAACGTTGTCACACAAAAACTTAGTCATGTATATATACGTGAGTCACTCATTCCGACAAGTTCCTATAAAAACAAAACATTCGATCTATTATACCACCAAATTAAACCCTAATCCACTCGTTCTCAATACCCAATACCCTTTCATAGTCGGTTGATGCAAAATTTAGATTGGATTACAATACAAAAAGTTCCTTAGATTGGCTCGGATAGAGTTTAGTGATTTGGTTTGGTCGGACAGTCTGATCTAGTCAACTTGACTTATGCAGTTCAGTTCAGGTCGCCCTTCACTAGGTTAACTTAGTACACTTCACCTGAAACACAATCACTCTTTTTGACTCGAGATCTTAGAGGTGACTCGAACAAGTGTATCACACCCACGAGACCCACATTTCCTTTCTTCAGATAAGTCGTCGCACGAGAATAACATACACGCTCACATTAACTTACCAAAAGAAGGGTTGAGATTATTCTCCAAGTCTCTTTCAAAGCTTTTACAATTTGGTAACTTGTAAACTGTACCCACACTAAAACTAGCTACAAAATAGCCCACAGATTACTAAAAGTAGAACCCAATAAATTAAAAAAATGAAAATGGTCAAAAAACAATGAGGAATAAAAATGGGGTTTTTTTTTTTTCATTTATACATCAATTGGACAATGGAGAAACCCAAAATGAATCTTACTTTAATTTCCCTTCCCATAAACAGATTCTTTAACTTGAATTCTACACCTTTCTACAAAACCTATCACTTCCAAAAGAATATACACATAAAATCTCATCCTCCAATTCCCTTCGAATATATCTCGGCTCCATGGTTGCTCGTATTCATCACCATCAAATTCAAAATCTTAAGTTATTAGAAGCAATTTAGTTTATATTAATTAACAACATGCCCACTGATATATAACTATTTGGTTACGAATTCGGAATACTTTTGTAGTTTCTTTCTTATAGGCATCTAACAGTACTATAAAATTACTCGTCACATTATTATGACCGTCTTCTCCAATAATTTCTCCACATTAAGAATTTGCCAATCCTTGTAGCTTATAATAATGGAAACTCACCTTTTTATATTATATATACCATTTTTCGACCCTTGTAGTGAACGCGGGTTTACACAAACTCAAATCTCTATGGTCATCTTCTTCACACATTCCAAACAAAAATTAAAGACTTCCCAAATCTATGGCTCGACACGAACTCAACTCTATTAAAAACGTGGGACAAAATCTCTCTCGATTAGTGTAAATTTAATCATTTAATATACCACGGAATATGTATATATTCCCCCTTTTCATATTTTTTTCTCAAAAAAAAAAACACACCAGATTCTTAATAACTTAGCTTACTATCCTCTTTGGAAAGAATCAATTCTGTTCCCACTTTGAGAAGTCCAAAAGAATTGGTAATGGACACCTTCAAGTTCTTCCTTTGGTTCTAACTCTTCCCTTTTTGGCCATTTAAATACAGCATATATCTCCACCCCATTTGCCCTAAATTGGTCATCTTCTTCTTCTTCCTCTTCCTCTACTTTAACCTAATTTTCCTCAATAGAATCAAAAGCTTGAGTGGTTTCAAAATGGCATCCAAAAGAATATTGAAGGAGCTTAAAGATTTGCAGAGAGACCCACCAACTTCTTGCAGTGCAGGTAAATTTATCACAATTCATCAACTTAAGTAATTTCGGGTTGATTGTTGATCTAATATAGTATCAGAGTCGAAGATTATGTATTTAAATTTATCGTAATCTGTTAGTTTAAGTTTTTAGGTTGATTGATGCTTAATAATTTTCAGGTCCCGTGGCTGAGGATATGTTCCATTGGCAAGCAACCATTATTGGTCCTAATGATAGTCCCTATGCTGGTGGGGTTTTCCTTGTCACCATTCATTTCCCTCCTGATTATCCCTTCAAACCTCCAAAGGTACGTTCAAGGAAATCGGTTTGATTCACGAGGTGGATTTGTATAACTTAAGGTTAAAAAGCGTCAAGTTTAAGTTTAATTGGTGTATCGATGAAGGCTACCTAAATATTAACTTTTACGTTAAATTATAAGTTTGGTCTCTGAACTTTAAGAGTAGTTGTGTTATTTAACGAGTCTATAATTTCTAACATTGTATATGTCATTGAACTTAAAAAACGTCTCATAAGTTAGAGACGTTATATTAGGTACAAAATTAAAAGTTCGGGAGCCTATTAAACATTTTTCAAAGTTTAGAAATTTATTGGACACAATATTAAAAAAGAAAGACGACCTTGTTGTACTGTTTAAACAACTTTAAAAAGTTTAATAACTAAACTTATAATTTAACTTAACTTCCATCGTCACGGAACATAGACTAAACATATAAGGGTTCTAAAACTCATTTCTCTCTACAAAATCAAATGTATTTAGATCATAAAGATCTTAGTTTTTCAACTACAAACTAATCAAATTTTTTGTTTCTCTAATTTTATGGGTTTGGAAAAGCAAAGTCTATTATTAATTCATGTTTTTGATGTTGAAAATTTGACTTAATTTGTTGCAGGTTGCCTTCAGGACAAAGGTGTTTCATCCAAATATAAATAGTAATGGCAACATATGCTTAGATATTCTAAAGGAACAATGGAGTCCTGCCCTCACAATATCAAAGGTAAGTTTTTAATGTTATGTTAAATCTTCTAAATAAGATCCCAACTTAAAATCTATATATGGTGCCATTTCATATTGATAGTCTATGTATTGAATCCTTTGAATAAAAAATAATTAAGGTTAAATTATAAATTTGGTCACTAAACTTCCGGGATTATGTCTCTAATAAGTTTCTTGGTTTTAAGAAGTGCTCAATGGGTTCTAAATTTTCGCATTTTTATTTAACAGAGACGTTATTTGAAGTTTTAGAAAAATGTCTAAATGTCTAAACTTTAAATTTTATACCAATATTAGTCATCGATTTTGAAGAAGTATCTAATGAATTCATTGATTTATTAGACACAAAATTGAGAGTTTAGGTTTAGAAACTTATTGATTTTTTGTTTAAATACTCTCTGGTCCTGTATTTTTTGCTTTGGTTGGTTTTGATTTTGTACTTTTCGAACTTTTTATACATATACTTTCAAAACATCCATTTTGGTCTGGCACCTTTTTCAAAAGTGACCATTTTATGGATCTTATTTACAAAATTTATACACAATTGAAACTTAATATAAATTTATGGTTACATTTAAAGAAATTTAATGAGTAAAGAGTCCTGCTAAAATAATAATTTTAAAAATGAGATAAAAATGAAAACAAAGGGATCCAAAATAAGTATAGAGACAAGAACTAACATTTTAAAAGTACATGAACTAAAATGAAAGTTGAAATTATAGAGACCAAAATAGATGTTTTGAGAGTACAATGATTAGAATGAACGAACTAAACTCGAAAGTTACTGGAACCAAAAGACTATTTAGACCTAAATCTTGTGATATTTTGTATCAAATTGACATGTGAAGAACTATCATAGGTGGCTCATTGGTCAAAATGGGCTAGGGTTAATTAAGAGGCCGGAATATGAGTTCAAATCCCATGACACACGTACCTTAGAAATTGGTAATTCATATGTGTTTCCCAGTACCAAATGTCCTAGGATTAGGTAGTTGACCCGTGAGATTAGTCGAGCAGCGCATAAGTTGACCCGGATACTGATCATGGATATCAAAAAAAAAAATTTTTGATATGTGAAGAAGAATAATCTTACAGCATAAGCATTTAACACGATATTGACCAAAAAAGGATCGTTAGTTCAAAGCCAGCCACACTTTTTCTTCCCTTTTTTATACTTCCATCTAAAAAAGTGTGGTTAATTTATGCAGGTTTTGCTCTCAATTTGCTCTCTATTAACTGATCCAAACCCAGATGATCCACTGGTTCCAGAGATTGCTCATATGTGCAAGACTGACAAACTCAAGTATGAATCCACTGCTAGGAGCTGGACCCAAAAATATGCAATGGGCTGAAAATTATAAAACCCCATATTACAAAATATATAGAAAAATCAAATTTTTCTAAAAACTTTTTTTTTTAATTATTGATTATTGAATCCTTTCCCTTGGAGAAATGTACTGATATGGCCTTAAAACTATAGGGCATTGGAACATCATATTATTCAAGCACCTATTTGCTTTAGAATAATTAATAATGGGATACTAATAATATATATGTCACAAAACTTTGGAGCTAGAATTTAATCATATTTATATATTATTGTTGTTGTGTTGATATATTATTATTCCTCACTCAGAGCCTATAATGGAAAATTTTTCTCTTTAATTTTTATTGTAATGGGTCTAAAACTATATTGTTTCTCTTTTCTCATCAAAGCAAAACTATATATTTAGGAAAAAATGACATTTTTTTTCCTCTACGCAAATGCGTCCCTTCTACTCACTCTAATCTTCCAAATTATGCGATAATTAAATCAGGGTAATAGGATAATAAGGGAAAAATGATAACCATATCGTGGGTAGTCCAAAGAAGTTAGGATTAATTTAGAGTAAATGAGTTCAAACCCACGATGGTGACCTACAAATATTGTAGGGTCAAGCAGCCGTCTCGACTYGCTCTGACACTTACGGATATCAAAGAAAATAAAGAAAAAGAAAAGTTTAGTGATTCTAGAGTCGTAGAAGAATCACTAGTCACGTGTTGTTATTTTATCTTTTATTAATAACTAGTAGGCCACCTCCCCATATAAATACATTAAATTTAGTTAACCAACTAATTAAGCAAACGGTAAACTAATTCAAGGAAGACACAACTAACCACAGTTAAGACTAAACCTAATTTAACTAATATAACGTAATAGTTAGTTAAATTAACTCCATAATATGATTTATCTTAGTCCCTCCATTGGGTTAAAACAACTCAATGACACATTGTTGTTGTTCTAGCTACCAACCAAGTTTAGTTAGTATTTTGTTACCACGTACTTAATTACGGCCATATATAAGGATGTGTGTATTGTTATGGAATGATCATCGAACAATTCGAATTTCTCCGGCCTCTTTGATCACCAAAAATTAATTCGTTCTTCTTCCTCTTCGATGGATTGTTTTGTTGTCAAGTGCGGAGGACCTCGTCAAATGTCGAGGGGCGTCGTCATCGGTGAGGCTGCAGCGGTGGTAAGGAGCAAGAAATGGCAACGGTGGCTGGCTGGCGTCGGCGGTGGCAGTAAGAAGAGAGAAATGGTATCATCGATGAAACCGCGGGGTGGCAAGCGACGACCGGGAGGGAGAGATGAGGTGGGCGGATGGGTTGCGGCATGGCTGCAAGAGGCTGAAGACCAAACAGACAAGGAAATAGAAAGTTACATGCAACCTAAGACAACCGAAGAAAAAAGAAAYTAAACCTTAATTAAGAAACTTAAGGAGGGGATAGGGGATGGCTAATATTTACATCCTTTTCATACAAAAAATAGAAAGCTAATATACCATTTATGTATATTGATCATTTACAAAATGTAATAAGATTACTGCATGTAATCACATGATTTATGATTCATGCCAGTACAAAATTGGTCTTCTATATTTAATAGTTATGAATAGTTACGGAGAAACAACCATGTTTTTATTTTTTTTATATAAAAAAAAGACAATTAGAAACGTTATAATTATCTTACCAAAACATTATTTTCAGAATAAATTTCAAACAACCATTATTTCAAAAAAAAAAAAAACCTAACTTTTATGGATGAAACTTGTAATTTTAGTTTTAATAGTTATGAACAGTAAAAAAATTGAAAAAAAAATGTAACAAATTTTAGGGGTGTATTTTTGGCCGGAAAAGAGTGCTACTTTTTGGATTTTAAAGTTCTACGATAATTTGTAACTATCATAAAAATTGTAAATTTTTTTATTCAATAACAGTTAAAAATTATCACGAAAATTGGATTTTTTTGAGCGTTAAACATGATAAGTCTCTAATATAGGCCCATAGGCCCACAGAGAATACAATTGGACGTTAAATATCACTATTAATGTGCTATTATATAATATAATAATATTTTAAGTCTTTTTTTTAAAGGTAATATTATGAAGAGACCATAAATACGGTGTCATTGAGAAACAATCCTGTTTTGATTTTTTATATATAAAAAAAAAAAGACAATCAACTATTGAAATGTTATAATTGTCTTATTGAAACATTATTTTCGGAATAAATTTCAAATAATCATTATTTCAAAAAAAAAAACTAATTTTTATGGATGAAACTTGTAATTTTAGTTTTAAATTTAATACAATCAACTAAATCGAAATATTTTGACGGTCCTGATTGAGATTCGATAAGCTAAAGGGAAGTCGGAGGGACCCACTGACGTCATGTTCTATTTTTCCGTACTGTTAAAAAGCAACAATAATTCCCATATTGTTTCCAATTTACATTTCAGTCCTCCAATTACTTATAAATTATCTCCAATGGCTTCCTTTTCTTTTCTTTTTTTTCTTGAAATTCAATGGCTTCCAATTCTTAGCTCTTATTTATGAGGAAAAAAGTAAAATTTTTTTAATGGAATCTCTGAACCCATGGCTTGATTTTGGTCCTTTCCCTTTCGCTGAATGTTCTTCATCAACGTGGTCGCCATGTGAACCTCCTTCCTAGGGTTTCTTCTTTATCTCTCTCTCCTAACTTTGGCCCGCGCCTCTGATTCCTCTGGTTTTGCARCTGGGTTTTCTTTTACATCTTTATCAAATCCCGTTTCTCCGTTTGATTTTCGATTCAATTGCGTAGTTTCTGTCGCGCTCGGATGATTGATTTCTATGGCGTTTTCTGGGTAAGCATTGTCTTGTTTTTTGGTGTTTTAATTAATGCTGCGGTGTGATTTTCAGCAGACGCATTAAGTGTTCTAACGGTGAAACTTTTTTGAATCGTTCGAACTTCTCCAGCTAGGTTTACTGAGTTTTGTAATTGGACTGAGCACAATTTTTCGATTTACTGTGCCCAAACCCCCATTTGCCTAATTCCAGAGTCCAGGAATTCACTATCTCATCGGCGTTGATCTGAAAAACTTTTGAATTACCTTCTCCGGTCTGTGTAATTTAGTTCGGTAATGGACGACGGGGAGCTTGATTTTTCAAATCAAGAAGTGTTTTCGAGCCCTAATATGGAGCTTCCTAGCAGTTGTTCAATGGATAGTTTCTTTGATGAACTTCTCAAGGACACTCATACTTGTACCCACACCCACACTTGCAATCCACCGGGCCCTGACTATTCTCATACCCACACCTGTTTTCATGTCCACACCAAAATTGTCCCTGCCCCAACTGACGACAAGGTCGTCACTGATGACACTGCAGAATCGACCGAGAAGAAGTCGAAGAAACGCCCGACGGGCAACCGAGAAGCGGTTCGTAAGTATCGCGAGAAGAAGAAGGCCAGGGCAGCCTCATTGGAGGATGAAGTTGTTAGATTGAGGGCTTTGAATCAGCATTTAATGAAGAGGCTGCAGGGTCAGGCAGCACTGGAGGCTGAGGTTGCTAGGCTCAAGTGTTTGCTTGTGGATATTAGGGGCAGAATTGAAGGGGAGATTGGATCTTTCCCTTACCAGAAAGCTGTTAATCCCAACCTGTCCAACCCAAGCATCCCTGGTGCTTATGTGATGAACCCATGTAATATGCAGTGTGGGGATCAGGTTTACTGCCTCCATCCTGACGTTGATGGCAGCAGAAGTGGTGAAGGCGCCGTGATAAATGGACAGAGTTTTGGTGCTTGTGAATTTGAAAATCTTCAGTGTTTGGCAAATCAAGACTCGGGATTGAAAGAGCTACCTGGGTGCGAAATAGGGAATGTGATTCCAAATGATATTTCTTCAGCAGCCACGAAGAAAAAAGGTGAAAACCACAGCTTAAGTTTACTATTTTTTACTAATAACCCTTCATTTTTCTTCTCATTGTTTGTTTTATGGTACATCATACATGTTTCTCTTGATTCATTGTTTGTCTCACCATTAGAAGGCATCGGTCACACCCTCACTGAAGCCATATTGAGTTTTTCAGCTTCAAATATGCAATTTGATAGACAAACTACTTAGAATGAAGTATGACATTTAGTTTATAAATTAGACTTAGTTGATTGCTACTCGCAACTTGCTGTTCATTTGCTTTCTAGTTTGGATTTATGTGTATGTTCTGACCACTGTTTTCTACTACTAGCACACTTAAGGTCGAAACTCGGAAGTATTAATTTGTGATTGCCAAATAAAAAGGCACATAACATCAAGGTCTGCCTGAATAGGTTGCTCAAATCTATGTATGACCTCCTGTTTTATCTGCATCTGTAATGTCTAAAAGTGTAATGTCTCTGATTTTGTTTAAACTTCTTGTGTACTCATCATCTCCAATCAATGCAGCATCACATGATATCGATATAGATTAGTGGAACCTTACATTAGATTAGCCTTGCAAGTATATCAATTACCCCAGAACATATCCATTCATGAATCATGATTGAGAATCTGATCCTATTTGTCCAAAATTTTGGAAATATGCTTTTGTTTTTCTCAAATAACCTGATCACTTGACCAAGTTCTGGCAAACAGAAACTATTACAGTCCTGTGGGTATGCTGTAAGGCATTCATTCGAACCAGAAGATAGTTGGAAACAAAAATAACAGCGTAGACACATCATGGATTGGTCTAGGGGTTAATAAGAGCCAATGTAAATAGTAAAGAGCTTAGAGGATATGGGTTCAAACCATCTATCTAGTGTTTAACATTCTATAGCTTACATGTATATTAGATTAGGCAAGGTATACAGAAGTTGGTTCAGA